CCCCCACCCCCCTGCCAACCCAAATCCCAAAAGTGGCATGCCTTCCACGGCGGCGAAAAGCTCGAAGGCCTCAAACTAGAACGTCTAGCAAATGTTCAGAATGACTTGCAAATCGGTTTAAGTACTAGCTGTTACTAGCTGGCGAGCACGGCATCGGTCCCCAGCTGACACTCGTGATGCTTGGAAAGCATTGCCTGGACTGCGGCTGAGCAACAGATGGAACAGCACGTCCCAGAAGATGCAGACCCAGAAGTTTTCAGATCTGTCAAATACTTCCTCAGGGCGGATATCCACCAAACCGTCTAAAAATGCAACACAATCGTCGGCACGTCTCGAATCAAATCTGCACTGCCCGCACCACTGCCCCAGTGTCTGCTTTGAACACAGATATCCTTACCATACAGAAGATACCAACATGCATGGATATCTACCTCTACAGAAGTCTCTACGGGCAGCTGCAGCAGAAAATCAGGTGATTGTCAGTGAACCCATGCATTCCACGCGGCAAAGCATTGCATGAAGACCACCCATCCAGCAAGGAGCTCGACTACAAACATGCACCTCGAGATCTAAGATGCAATTTTGGGGCTTGAGGGGTGCTCTGCACAACAGCTATGACTAGTATATTCATAATCCCCTGCCGCTAATAACAACACCGCGGCCCCCTTCCCAATCATAGATGTTGCTACTCTATCATCACAACATGTTCATATAGTGCGGTTTTCTGCCAGTCGGTTCAGGTGAGGATTGGAGTTCAAGTTAAGTCAGAAGGCAAAATCCAGATATGCATACAGCGAAAGATTGCTGCTATCTTTGGTAGAACATCTACGAGACTACAGGATCTTCACAGGTTCAAACTTGGCTTTTCCCAGTCAAGGGTAGAAGTCCGGTGCTCTGGGCTAAACAGGCGCATACCTCTCTCATCTCTTGTCACCTTCTCTTTTCAAAGACCCTCCGTACCTCAGAACATGTTGGGCCCGCGTCTTTAGCGACTCTTAGGCCATGACCGCCAAACCCTAAACCCCAACCCTAAACCCTACATTATATAACCCATTATAGTAGCTTCCATTTTCTCCACTGTCCCTGTATAACGCTTATATGAGCTTCTGTCTAAACTCCTGGTATCCCCCTTAATAACCCCTATAGTAGTCCCCTATATAATCCCCTATATAACCCCCCTTTAAGGAGTTTAGACTATAGCTCATATAACCCTAAACCCAAAGGGCCCTGAAATCACCATACCTCAAGGCATCTTGCAGCAAGTCGCGCGACGATGGTGACGCCGACCACCAGACCGGCCAGGGCATCGCCGAAGAACGGGCCATCCAGGGTGAAGCCCAATCCAGAGAGCTCCCTTCTGTCCATGCATTTGCCTAGGTTCCATGGGGGGTAGGGCTCAGGAAGCAGGGTTTGAGGCTTCTTCAAAGAAATTCTTCCTTATGCTGCTCTGTTTCCAAAATGTCTTTCGAGCTTCCTCATGGTTCGTCTTCCCTTACCAATATGTAGCGAGGCGATGTAGCTCCTCATCGCTACTCTCTCAGCCAGGTACTATTCGTTGGTCCTTCAAAGTCTAGAGCAACTAGCGAGGAGAACAAACCATCTGAACATGGTTTAGAGTTTAGCATTAGGGTACTGGCAGTGACAGAAGTGAAAGCATCCGAACTCGCATCCAAGCTGCACATGAACCAGACGCCCAGAAAAGCGCCGACACCTCGGATAGGCATTCCGTGACCGGAGGATTAAAGGGTTGAAGGGTTGGGCCAGGCCCCAACCACAAATCAGACCACAAGGGATCCTTAGTAATTCTGCAAGGGTACTACTATACTCCTGCTATGCCTCAGACATGGCCTAAGATAGAAGCGGCTCAAGAAGCAGGCCCGCGGCTACAAATTCTAAAGGCCCTTAACAGCCAGGATATTATCTGGCTGGTTGTCACAATTATGGTCCCTTTTTGGATCCCTATTATAATACGGCCCCTAATATTTGGGGTACCCAAAAAAGGACCATCATTTTGACAACCAACCAACCATTCAGTTATTGCGGAATGCTGCCAAAGACCGCATCATTCCTCCATATTGAACCCTCACCAACGTTGTTCAAGACAGTAGGCTTCGAGATTGCTGCAAACAGAAAAACAGCTAGCTTCGAGGCCCTGGAGATATGAAGGGATACTAGGAGGTTATACGGGGTCCTTCTGAAGGTGAGATTATAAGAACTAGTGCCAAAGACTCCTGCATCATACCTCCAAGGCAAGGTAAGTACCGAACTCTGTTTTCTACTCGAATAAACCACCCCGTCGACCTAACTCCCTAAACCCCAAACCATGCAAACCCAAAACTCTTCACTTCAGCCCCAGGCCCGGAAAAAAACTAAATCCAAACCAAACACCCCCTTCAAACAATCGAACCTGAGCCCACCAGAAGCCCAACACACCCTTCACCTACCCCAAAGCTAACATAGAACACCACCCTTTCTTAAGGACAGCAGTCGTCACGGTGCCCTTAATAGGTTTGGGGGGGTGCTATACTCTCAACCCTAACCCCTATACATCTCCACTTGTCCCAACACTGGTGCTAGTGGTCGTCAATAACTAAAACGTATTGCCCGTGTATAGTGTGGGCGTTTTGCTGCCGCAGAATAAGACATATATGAAATCGTGGTCTAGATATCATTTCATTCTTCAGGTTCTTTTCAATTTGATTCTCCATGGCTTCTACACCCTAAACCCTAAAAGCCCTCATAAATCCGAACACCCTGAACCCTATATACCCCTATATAACCTCTATATCATCCCTAAAATATCCCTATATAATCCCTATACATGCCCTACAATCCCCCAAAGGACCCATGACTGCTAGTGCAAACGAAGCGGCCCATACCAAGTCGCATGCAGGCATCCTTGCCTCGAGTGCATGCAGACATATACTATAGGTTTTAGGGTTTAGGGTTTAGGGGTGGGTTTGCATGGCAATATTTGAGGTCAAGGGTTCAAGGCTTAGGGCTTAAAAGCGGCTAGGTGGAAGATTAGGGCTTGAGGTTGGTGAGAGGCTGCAAATAATCCCGCTAATGGAGGAAAATTGGGTGACAAGGCTATTTTGCCAGGCCCGAGTTAACAGTAAAGCCAATTGAGGCCCCGAAGCGACTGACTCAAGCCGCGAGCC